TTAAACTCTGTTTCTTTGTTGACTAGCTGGATGATCTAGCCATTGCTATAAGCAGAGTATTAAATGATCCATCTATTACTGAACTGCAGTCTATCACTTTCCACTTTTTAATATTTCCTTTATTTGGGTGTGCAGATGTTGGATGCATTTTCATTTATAATTTTTATATTTTCTTGCTCAACTGACAACTTTTTCATTGTGGAATGACCTTCCTTGTCTGCTTCTTCTTTTATTTATAGCCTATTTACCTGATATAAGTATGGCTACTCCTGCTTTCTTTTGAATTACATTTTCATAGATCTTATTCTATCCATTCATTTTTTCCATCTTTAGAGATGAAATGAGTTTCTCATAGGAATAGATAGTTGACCCTTGCTTTTTATCCTTTCAGTCATTCTGCGTTTTTGATTGAAAACTTAATCCTTTTATATCCAATATTCACAGATAATTTCCTACTGTAGATATTTCATAAATTGTTTTCTAGGTTTGTCACTTTCCTTTTTCTCAATCTTGTAGTTTTGCACTATATTCCTCCCTCCATTTTGAATTTTTGATATTCCATTTTGTATCTTTCTATGTTGCCTATTTTTAATGACAATATTATTTTTAATTATTTTGTTTTTTATTCATAAGGTGATATGAATGTTTTAATAACCATGTTTATAATATTATAGCATTCTGAAGTTCTTTGTATAGTTTTACCTGTGAATTTTACATCTTCTTGTGTTTTTTTAACATCTTTGTTTAAGCTCAAAGAGTTTTTTTGTTTTGTTTCCTTTTTTTAGATTTCTCATCAATCTTATTTCTCATTGAGTTTATTGGTACAGTTTAGATATACAGTACAGTTACACTCCTCATTGGGATCTTGTACCTTTATATGACAGGTCTTGGTTCTCATTTTTCCCCTTATCTCTGACCTCCCTTCACCCCCTCCTCTCTTCCCTATTTACAAATACTTTATTTCCATTTTTTCATTTTCTCATGTTTTTTTTTCTTTTCCCTTATTACCTTTCCCCTACCCTTCCCACTTTCCCTACATGTTTAGCCCTTTTCTTCCTATTTCACATTGTCAATTATATCATTAGGATCTTATGTACTATTATAGCTTATTCACACCAGAGAAACTATTCAGTATTTATACATGTGTGACTTATTTATTTCACTTAGGAGTATATACTCAATATGTATCCATTTTCCTATGAATGACTCTAATTTCTCATTCTTTATGGCTGAGTAGTATGGAAGATTCTATTTAGCTTCTACTTTCCTTTACATTCTTTATTACATTTATTGATTTGCATATTGTAAACTATCCTTGTATTCCTGGGATGAATCCCACTTTATTATGGTGTGTTTCTGATGTTCTGTTGAATTCAGTGTTAGTATTTCTTGGAAAAATTTTGCCTCTGTGGCCTACAGGGATATATAGGCCTATAATCTTCACTGTCATATTTTTGTCTGGTTTTGGTATATGGACAATTTTGATCACATAAAAAGAAATTGGCAGAATTCTTCCATTTCAATTATTTGGAAGACTTTTAGAAAAATTGGGATTAGTTCTTTTGTGTTACATAATTTAATATTTCTACCAGCTTCTGCCCTTTACTTTTAATGTGAGGAACTAATTACTTCCTGAATCTCATCATTCATTGTTCATTTGTCTAAATTTTATGTTCTTTAATTCAGTTTTCACAAATTGCATGTATTGAGGAATTTAATCATTTCTGCTAGGTTATCCAGTATTTTAGCACATAATATCTTTATAGTAGTTTATGAATCTTTGTATTAGAAGTCACCACTCCCAGATGTAAAGGAACTGGGAAGGGTAGGGGAAAGGAAATAAAGGAAAAGAAAAAAAACATGAGAAAATGAAAAAATGGAAATAAAGTATTTGTAAATAGGGAAAGGAGGAGGTGGTGAAGGGAGGGCAGGGACAAGGGGAAAAATATGAGACCCAAGATCTGTCATGTAGAGGTACAAGATCCCAAAGATGAATGTAACTGTACTGTACACCTAAAATGTACCAATAAACTCAATGAGGAAAAAAAAGTCACCACTTCTAATTTTATGCAGGTTTTAGGAAAGAATTTTTCTTTTATTCTGTTCTTTTTTTTTTGATAGGACAAAAGGTATCTGTTGGGTAGGTGTTTTGGCTTTGGTAATGTGCTCAAATACAAGTATTTGGTTTTGATATATTCATTAGTCATTGTTGTGCATTGTAATGTCTCCCTTTTCATCTTTGATTTTACTTGTCTTTTTCTCTTGGTTAGTAGCCTAGCTAATGTTTTATATATTTTGCTTAACCTTTCCAGAAATAACTCTTATCATTGATTTTTTTATTTTATATCTCTGCTTTGATCTTCATTATTCCTATTAATTCTGTGTTTGGTTTGTACTTTTCTAAGTCCTTGTAGTGTACTATAAGGCTATTTATTATTTAAGATCTTAAATGTAATTTTAGGGCTATTGTTTGTTATTATTTAAGATCTTTCTTTTTTGATGAATGAATTTACTGCTACAAACTTTCCTTTTAGTACAGCTTTGGCTGTATTCCAGAGTTTTTGATATATTGTTCTGACATTTTCATTTCTTTCCAGATACTTTTTTCTTTACTTAATTTCAATTATCCATTGGTCATATGGGAGCATGTTATTCAATTTTTATATATTTTCTAATCTTATGGGTTTGCAGTTGTAAATTGTTACACCATACAGAATACATGATATGACTTCAATTTGTCAAACTGTTGATACATAACTTTTTACCTCACATTCTATCCTTTAGAATGCTCCATGTACTGATGAGAATGTGTATTCTGCTGCTGTTAGATAAAATGTTCTACAGAGCTCTGTTAGGTCAATTTCTTCTGTAGTGTGATTCAACACAGATGTTTCTTTGTTGATTTTTTTTGTCTGGGTGATCTATCCATTAAGGAAACTGGGTGCTGAAGACCTCAAAGGGAGATTTTCTCTCCCTTTAGATCTCATAATATTTGTTGATATATTTTGGTGGCCCTGTGGTTGGTGCATATATATTTAAAATTTTTCTATCTTCTTGGTGAATTGATAATGTTTATCAGTCTATAATAGCCCTTTTTCATTTAACTTTTTATTTAAAATTTGCCTTATCTGCTATGAGTATAGCTATTTCTGCTGGTTGCATTTAGTTTCTACTTGTGTAGTATATCTTTTCTTTTTCAACCCCTTTTCCTTCCAGCTGTGTGTATCTTTACCAGTGCTGTATTACATATGTGTTTCTTACAGTCAATATAAGGTTTTTGTATTGTTTTGGCTGGGATATTTGGGGAGAGTGAATGCTCAGTAGCTGCTTTTCATTTTCCCAGAATTATTTGTATTAATATGTTTATGATACTTAACACATTCATAATAGTGAATTGGTATATGTACACATTGTGTCTTGAGTCTTTCCTCTCCTTCCCTTCCCTGATCTTTCATCTTCTCCTCCCTTCCTACCTTCATAAAGTATGCAGTATATAGCTGATTCTAGCTTTTTCTTTCATTTAGCCCATTTATTCCTTAGAACAGTAAATTAAATCCATTTATATTGAAAGTGCTTTTTAATAACTATTCTATTATTTTTCTGATTAACTTTATTGGTACATTGAAAGCAAACAATAGTTCCATTTATCATTGAGATCTTGTACCTTTACCTGATATATCTTGGTTCTTATTTTTTCCCATACCCCATCCTCTCTTCACCCTTCCCTATTTACAAAGTCTGTTTCCATTTCTTCAGTTTTTCTTTTCCCTTATTTCCTTTCCCTTCCCACTTCCCGTTTAGCCACATTCACACTCCTAATTATACCATTTGAACCTTATTTACACTAGTTTTTCACACCAGAGAAATTATTTGGTATTTACTCGTGTGTCATTTTTTTAAATTGCTTTGTTTCTTTTTATGGTTCTACTTTCATTTGCTTTTGTAATTTGATAGTTTTCTTTCATGTTAAGGTTTGATTCTTTTTTTCCACATATTTGTTCTAGTGAATTTTATACATTCATGTTTTTATCACTGGTGGTTATCATCCCTTTGTTTCTAGGATTCCCTGAAGTATTTCTTATAGGTGTAGACTAGTGGTAATGAATTCCCTTAGGTTCTGCATATGTGGGAAAGACTTATTTTTTCTTTCTTTTTTTTCCCTTTATTTTTGAAGGATAATTTAGCTGGGTATAAGATTATTGCTTGTCATGTTTTAGAACTCTGACTATATCATCCCATTCTCTTTTGGCCTGTTAAAGTTTCTATTAAGAAATCTTCTGTAAGTCTAATGGGCATTTCTTTTTTTTTCTTTTTTTTTCTTTTTTTTTTGTACCAGGGATCAAACTCCAGGCCTCCTTAAATCCCCAGACCAAATGGGCATTTCTTTACATATGACTTGATACTTTGCTATTTTTAGAATTCTCCATCTTTTGACAATTTTACTATAATATGCCTTGGTAATACTCTTCTTTGTTTGAATCTAATTGGGTTTCTTTGAGCTTCATGTATCTAGATGTCAGTATCACTGAAAGTTTGGGATGTACAGTTATTTATTCACTAAATGGGTTTTCAATGCCTTTCCCCTTTTCTACACTTTCTGGAATTACCATGACACAAATTTTTTTTTTTCACTTAATGGTATCCAATAAGTCTTTTTTTTTTTTCCTCATTGAGTTTATTGGTATATTTTAGGTATACAGTACAATTACATTCATCATTGGGATCTTGTACCTTTACATGACAGGTCTCGGTTCTCATTGTTTCCCCTTGTCCCTGCCCTCCCTTCACCCCCTCCCCCTTTACAAGCACTTCATTTCCATTTTCTCATATTTTTTTCTTTTCCCTTATTCCCTTTCCCCTACCCTTCCCACTTTCCCTATACCTTTAGCCCCTTTCTTCCTATTTCATGTTGTCTATTATATCATTAGGATCTTACATACTATTATAGTTTATTCACACCAGAGAAACTATTCGGTATCTACACATGTGTGACTTATTTATTTCACTTAGGAGTATATCCTCAATATGTATCCGTTTTCCTATGAATGAATCTAATTTCTCATTCGGTATCCAATAAGTCTTATGGGATTCCTTTTTTTTTTTTTTTTTTCCAAGACAGGTTCTCACTAAGTTTCCCAAGCTGGGCTTAAATTTATGATCCTCAAGCTTCCCAAAATTGTAGGATTATGTGTATGTTCCACAATACCTGGTTTATTTTTGTTTCCAACTGTGTTAATTCCAAAGTTCAGGCATTATTTCTTTTACATGTTTTAGTCTGTTGTGGAGGCTTTCCATTCTATGTTTAATTTACTGATTGAAGATTTTACCTCCAGGATTTATGATTGATTTTCACTTGCCTGTATGATTTTTTATTCATATCCTACCCTGATTTTCTCAGTATTATCTGTGTTCCTTTACATCTCACTTAGTTTACACGAGATGATTATTTTGAATTCTTTTTCAGGAATATCATAGACTTTCTTCAAAGCAGAAATTTTCTGTTTTCCTTCACAAGTGTCATGTTCCTGTGTGACTACAATGATGCTGGAACATCGGATAGAACAGTCACTTCTATCTAATTTAGCCACCACTTCCAATTTTATGCAGGTTTTAGAAAAGGATTTTTCTTTTATTATTTTTTTCTTTCTTTTGATTAGATGGTACATAATGTGTCAGTTGGGTAGATGCTTTGGTTTGGGTTATAGGTGAGCTCAAATGTGTAATATACAAGTACTTGGTTTTGTCAGCTTTGATTGATATGGTTTTGATATATGCATTAGTCATCTTCCTATTGTAGGGACAAAATGTCTAACACATACTATATAAGGGAGAAAAGGCTTATTTTGAGTCATGATTTCAAAGGTATAATAGTCCATGGTTAGCTGACTTTAAGACATAAATATCATTCCTGAAGGGCCTGGTGAGAAAAGTGTTCACCACAAGGGCCAGGAAACAAAGAGAAGAGGCAGAGAGCCACAGAAGAGCTCTTTGAAGAGCTTTCAGAAACACACTCTCAGTGACCTACTTCCCCCAGTGAGGCCCTACCTCCCACCAACCCATCCAGCTAATGAACTAATTAATGGATCAAGCACCCTTGTGATCCATTCACCTCTCTTGGACCCACTTTTGAATACTGTTGTACTGGGGATCAATAATATATGAGTCTTAGAGAACACTTCATCTTTAAATCATAACATTCCAACCCAGAGACTTCTGTCCATTTCAGAATGCAAAGTGCATTTAGTTCATCTCTAAGGGTTCTCAAAATTGTAACAATTCCAGCATTTCTCAAAGGTCCAAGTCCATGATACTCTCTTGAGAATCCAGTTATATACTCTTAGCTGTGACCTCCTATAAAAAAATCAGAAAGCAAGTTACACACTCCCAAGGTACAATGGCACAGAGTAAATATTACCATTTCAAAAGGAGGGACTAGGGTCATATAAAGGAACAGGATGAAAATAAAACTAAAAGTTATCAGGACAAAATTAAATTTGTAATGCCACATCCAGCATCTGCAGCAGTGTTAAGATATAAATTCCAAAGGGCTTCAGTAGCACATCATATGGTTGAGCTGGTTTCAGTACATAGAGTCTCTTACTTGGGCTGGCTCTATTTGCTGCCTCTGACTTTTCTTAGATGTTCCACCTTCCTGGCATCTCCATCTTCCTAGGACCTCTATTACAGCTTCACACATCATCTGCTCTAGGGCTTGCTACAGGGATTCTCAACCTATCACACATTGCGTGTCCTCACAGGCCTTCTTTGAAATATCAGGGAAGTCTCCATGCCCTGTCAAATCTCACATTCCACTTCCCTGAAAGTCAGCATTAACATGGACAATGCCACAGTCTACCATCAGTGTGAGCAACAGCTGGGCCCCGTTGCACCATGGCTGCTGTGGCCTGTGGGTGACCTCTATACAGGCCTCAGAAAGCAGGAGCCCTTAAGGCTCTATTGCTAAAGTATCTCAAAGCAGCACACATTTATATATCCTCAAATCTGGTCAATTTCTCAGATGCTCTCAAGGCATCCCACAGTGCAGAATAAAAATCTTGGCTTCTTTTCAACAGTACTATCTTTAGCAACACACTTTCTTTGGCCTCAACTTTACACATTTTTTTAGCCAAACTGCTAAGTTTTCAAATCTTTCTACTCTGATGTTTGTCCAAATTCTTCCTGAAATCTCACTGAAAGTAGCCAGATACCTATGCCACACCCTAAATGTTGTACTGCCTTGAAATTTCATCCACCAGACAAACGAGGCCTTTAAACTGTCTCTTACAGAGTCTTCAAGTTCTCTTCTAAAATGCAACATTCTTGGCCCTTAGTCCAATATTCTTCATTACTATCTGAAACCTTACTTTTACTATTTATTATTTACATTCCTATCAGTACTCTAGTTTCAGAACCCCCATGAGAACTGTCCATCAAGATCTGCTTAGAACACATGAGGCTTTCTCTAGTCTGCTCCAAACTTTTCCAAACTCTTCCCACAAGTAAGTTCCAAAGGCTGCTGCACCCATGGTTAGGTATAGCCATAGCAATAATTCTACTTTTCTAGTACGGATTTTCTGTATCAGTCACATTTCCATTGCTGGGCCAAAATACCTGATATATACAATATAAATGAGAAGAGCTTACTTTGGCTCATAGTGTCAGAGGTTTCAATCTATGGTCAGCTAAATCTAAGGCAGAAACATCAAGGGGAAAAACGTCATAGAAGAAGGACATGGCAAAGGAAAGCTGTTCACATCATGACAGCCAGGAAACAGGGAAAGCAAGGAAAGAGCCCAAGAAGTGATAGAACCAGAATGTTCCTTAATCACATGGGGCAAGTGTGAATGACCATGAGATTTGTGTTGGTAGCTGTAGTCCTGAAGCCTCAGGCTATAGATGGGACCTTTTCCTAGTCTCAACAAACAAGCTTGATTGTTTTGGAGGCTTTTTGTCCCATCTATCCTGGAGGCTATGAGCTGAAAAGAGACCTTTCCTAATTTCCATGGGGCAAATACAGGTGGTGCTAAAGTTTGAGGCATTGGAGCTACACATCTGGATCTTTGGGACACAGACAGAACTTTGCCAAGGACCTTTAACACAGGTGTGGGTGAAGCCAGGACTGTTTTCACCATCAGCTGCATTACCAAGGCCATGAGCTGTGGAGAAGTCATTTCCTGGCTCCTATCAGGTGAGCACAGGTGAGCCATGGCCACTGCTCCTGAAGCTGCAGAATGCCAGGCAGTTGTCTTCAACACTTTGAGGCACATAGAAACCTAAAGCTTCTGGGAGCATTAGGGGGACAGATGTCAGTCCCTGAGCCAGGTGACATCTAGAAATGTTGGTCATAGTAAAGTGGGTTTAGGGATTAGAAAGGCCCAATGTGGGTTCCTCCTCTGAAGAAGAGAAGTTACTCTTAGATCCGCCATCTATCTGCTGACTGGATTAAAATCCTGTGAGGCCTGTGGAGTTCTGCAGTTAGGACCATTGGTCTGCTGATGTTGTAGGGTTGCAGGCACTTTCCTGCTTACCTTTTCCCAGCTATGTGGAGTGAGCCTCCTGCCATCTCCCCTACCCTGCAAAGGGACAGTGTTGCAGTTGCAATCGATTTTAGTCCTTTCTCTAGATTGCCCTTTTAGCTCTCCTTGGGTTCCTATCACTTCTTTGCTAATTTAGAGTTCTCCCTTAGTTTTGAGTTATCCCTCAAAAGGCATGTTTTTTCTTTGTTGCCCTGTTTCTTCTTTGTGGCAGAGTTTGTGCAGGGAACCTGTATTTACCCATCTATTTCTCTAATCTCAAGCTTCCTTTCTAAAAGAGAAACAAATGGCTGACAAATATATGGAAAAGTGTCCCATATTTTAAGCCATCAGGAAAATTCAAATTAAAACTACAGTGAGATTCCCATCTCAATCCAGTTAGAATGACTATCATAAAAAAAACTAACAAATTATTGTGAAGATAAAAAAGAAAACCTCATACATGCACTATTGGCGCAAATGTAAATTAGTACAGCCCCTATGGAAACCAATAAGGATGTTCTGAAAAAAAATTAACTAAAAATATAATTACCAGATGATTCAGCTGTGCTATCCATGGGTATTTATCCAAAGGAACTGAAGTCAGCAAAGATACCTGCAACACCCATTTGTAACACAGCAGTATTCCCAATAGCCAAGACATGGAATCATCCTAAGTACCCATCCACAGATGAATAAAGAAAAATGGCATACATATATAAGTATTAGCCATGAAGAAGAATAAAATCTTGTCTTCTGCAACACAGTGGATGGAATTGGAGAGCATTATGTTAGGTGGGATAAGCCAGAGAAAGATAGTTATCACATGGTTTTGTTCACATGTAGAAACTTTACAAAAGGTGACCTGAAAGTAAAAAGGTAACTCATAAGGACTGAAAAGGAAACTGAAGGGAGGCAGAAGAGAAAGTAGAAAGTAGTGGATGGACATGATCACTGGATACTATTTGAATGTAAGGAAACATCACAGTTAATCTCACTAATGTGTACAATTATACTCTATGTTAATTTTTAAAAGACCACAGGCTCATTCCCAGAAAACTCCAGCCAACTTTCCTTTATGTCCGATTGTCCAGAATTCAGTTATCTATGCATGGCCGGCCTAATCACCAGCTGCACGAATAGTGCTACTTTTACATCAATCAGATTCATTGCTAAAATATCTCAGGGCACCTTCCCCTAAGATGTAAGTTGCAAAGGACAGAGGTAGACTCTTAAAGTTGCAGCTCTGTTAGGAAATGGGAGAGGAAAAATACAGACTTTAGAGATGCTGGCAATATCTAAGGATAATAAGTTCATGCTTTGACAGTTAAATGAAGAAACACACCTAAAGTGCATAGGCCTTGGTATATGGATAAATATTCAAATTATATAATTGATAATGTGAAATAGAAAAGGGCTAAAGGAGTAGGGGAAGTGGGAAGGGTAGGGGAAAGGAAAGAAGGGAAAAGAAAAAAATATGAGAAAAGGAAAAAATGGAAACAGTCTTTGTAAATAGGGAAGGGTGGAGTGGGTGAAGGGAGGGCAGGAGTAAGGGGAAAAAATAACCAACATACATCATGTAAAGGTACAAGATCCCAATGGTGAATATCACTGTACCTAAAAAGTACCAATAAACTTAATGAGAATTTTTTTCAATAAATATGAGCTATGTAATAGATTCTCTTATTCACTTGACTTCTACATCAATCATAAGTTAGATTTCTGTCATGCTTCTTAGCAAATAAGAAATAAAGGTCAGCCATTTTTAATGATGGCAGCAGTAATAGTATACAATAAGTATAAAAATTAAACACACAGGAATAAAAGAATCATAAATGGTTGAAACACATAATTCATTATAAGCATTTTAAGCAGTGTTATGAATGAAATAACTTTAATTTTTAACTTTTATTAGTATATTTGAAGTACAAAATGATTACATTCATTGTAGAGAACTGATACATGTATATAATATCTTGATTTTTTTCTCCTTTCCTCTATCCCCTTCTATTTTGCCAGCATCAGATTTACCTTATTAGTACTTATAAAGTTAATAATCATATAAACAGATTGACAACCAGAAACAGACCAAAAAACTTAAAACAATTATATCAAGGCACTCTTTGATACGATGGCCATGCTGAATTACAGTAACTGCTTTCTCTTTTTTCCTGTTATCTGACTTTTATTTTGCACTTTATTTATTCACTGAGTTTCTATATGAAAGAAACCATTCAATATTTAAACTTGTATGGGTGGTTTACTTCACTAATCATTTTGGTCCCTAGATGCATCTATTTTCCTATAAATGACTCAAGATTGTCCTTCTTTATGGCTGAGTAGTAAACTATGTACAATTACCACACTTCATTCATCTGTCGAAGGACACACAGAATTTTTCCAAGACTTAGCTATTATTAGTTGTATTGCTATAAACACGGGTGTGCATGTGCCACTGTGGTATAGTGTGTTTAACTCTCTTGGAAAGATAACTACAAGGGGAATAGCTGGATAAAATGGAATTTCTATTTTTAGTTTTTTGAGGAATCTCTATACTGTTTTCTGTAATAGTTGTGTCAGTTTACACTTGCACCAATAATGAAAAAGGGCTTGTTTTTCACCCACAATCTTGCCGCACTTGTTATTGGTTGATTTTATGATGACAGCCATTCTTTCTGGAGGGAAATGGAATTTCATTGTTTTAATTTGCATCTCTTGAGTGATCAGAAATATTAAACATTTTTCATGTATGTATTGGTCATTTGTGTTTCTTCACATGAGAAGTGTCTCTTCATTTTAGGAGCCCATTTCTTTAAATTTGGGGGATCAAAATTTTGA